CACAATTTCCAGTACCTCTCCCTGGATTGTAAGTGGCGTGTTCAGTGACTGTTCGTCCACGAGCATAACCTTACACTTTGTAGGCGCAAAGTGCATGCCAGAAACGGGTGACTTTGGTCAGTTCATCCAAGAATACCTGAGCCTTCTCCTCCTCTTCGAAAATGAGAACGATATCGTCTGCATATTCCAGATCGACAAGGTTTTCTTCACAAGTTATTTGAACACCAGGGTTATGGAGACCCTCCGGCGTTCGTCTCATTATTTTATCGATTACGAAGTTAAAAAGGAATGGAGAGAGTAGGCATCCCTGACGGACACCGCTTTGTTAGTTCAGTAAGAGTCAAAGTAAGCAAACGAAAGGGCATATCCCAGGGAAATGGCTCACGGCCGCTCATCCGCTGGTCAAGCATTCTGTCGGATAAGTAGATGCTTGCTTGCTCGCTCTTGTCCTTAAAAGGAAACCTCTGAGCAGAAGCTCGGTATTTACCAAAGGTGCGCACAGACCGGCAACCACTAGTGTGCACAGGAAAGTTACTGGGCAACTTGGATCGCCGTATTTATATGACCGATTCTCTCAAGGCCCGCTGCATGCCGGACAGCTCCCGGAGTAGAAAATTCACGAAAGAATTTGAACTGCCAATCATCCCAAATCAGATTGGTGGACGGCGAGATGGACAAGTGGTTAGAGCGCGAATTTACTGACTGGAAGGTCCGTGGTTCGAACCCAACCGGCTCTGCCTCTCGACTTCCCCTGTCTAGGCTTCGGCAATCTGGCAGTATCCCAGCCCTCGTGACACATTCTGGTGGCATGGCAGTTAGGCACCGGAAGGGTACTACAGCTGAACGAACAACGGCCTCTCAGTTTGCACTTTCCCGTAGTACGGTGAGCTACGAGGCTGAGCGACTAACCACTGCTCGAAGGGTACTACAGCTGAACGAACAACGGCTTCTTATCGTGCACTTTCCCGTGGTACGGTGAGCTATGAGGCTGAGCGAGAATGTTGGTAGCAACGAAGAGGCCATCTGAGACATTGGCATCAACGATTATGAGAGCCACACTTGTTCCTTAATGACAGATTTTTCGCGTTTAACCCTTGCTCTTCCCCTTCCTTCCACTGAACGAACAACGGTTTCTCATCGTGAACTTTCCCGTAGTACGGTGAGCTACGAGGCTGAGCGACTAACCACTGCTCGCGAGAATGTTGGTAGCAACGAAGAGGCCATCTGAGACATTGGCATCAACGATTATGAGAGCCACACTTGTTCCTTAATGACAGATTTTTCGCGTTTAACCCTTGCTCTTCCCCCTTCCTTCCACTCTCTACTGAGGCTTTCTTCTCTGAAGGTTGTGGCAATCAAGCACTGATGCGTTATCACTGATAATGATGATGATGATATTTCCTTGAGGTATGTTGACGGCAAAATCACGGAGCAGGCTACATCCACTCATTCCGAAAGCAGTCATGTGGTGCTGGATTAGCGGGTAACAGATCTCACCGGAAAGCAAATACAAACTTTGATCAGGTCGAGTAAAAACGTCAAAAGCTGAAAACTAGCCACCTGAGAACTTACGAGACGTTCATGTGATGTCGTGCTGTCGAGAGATTCTGACGATATTTTTTCATTATTTTTCGACACGTTAGATGAGCGTGTGTCGGTGGGACTTTGACAGTTCCAAAACTGTTGACCTACCTGCGGGCGCGCAAAGACCACCGTGGTACATTTTATAGAGCCCCTAGGAGCTTTATTTCGATGCCAGATTTGGGTCAACGACTAAAGTTGACGATACCCAGTGCTTCCTTTTGCCCTTGTTCCTGCGGTGGTGAAAGTTACGTTTGGATGAGGCAGGCATCCGTCTGTGCGCATTCACCAACGGCTGATCACCTAGTGCACGTCAATCAAACGTTACGATCGATTGACCGCGCCCCTGGTCGTTACACTACTCAAACGCTTTCTGTCATCGGCAATGAAGTTACTATTGTCCGGCTTTACAAACCTGGACTCTGCGCACACACACAAACCATTTGCTAAAGCCTTGTTGGATAACCTTAAACGACCTCACATGGTACACATGACCTCAACATGTCCCGAAAAGCTCAGATGTCAATGGATCAATGTGTACCTTTCCTGACCAATCACCGTGCTGCCTCCTTCGTCCAGTGACGTTATTCCGCTGCGCTGTGGCCAACCCGTTGGAGAAACACTAAAAACAAATTCATCTGCGATTCGGTCACATAACTGATAAGCAAACTAGCATCTATTCCAGATAAGCCCCGCCACTAATGCGAAAAAGGCATGTGCGAAAAGTTAAGCCCCGCCACTTTTTGCCACCTCCAGTTTAATGTACGAACACAACCTTGATCTATTTTTAATGAAAACAATTCCGCTTCAAAGATGTCTTTGCTGACCACGTGCTGACATATTCAAGCGTACTAATTCACTTGGTTCAACGAGCCGATGAAGCATTGTGCAAGCTTTTCAGCTATTCCAGAACTGTTGCCCTTGACAAACTAACTTTGCTGTCAATAGTTCAGCAGCGTGAAAATAGTTGCGAAGGCGACCGAGTAAAATGAAAAAAACGGTTCAGTTGTAGCGCTACTTCGGTTTCTAGCTGCCATGACACCCGAAGCTAGCATAAGGACTGAGATAGTCCTGATGCCTAGACAGGAGATGCCCAGATGTAGTATTTGGGTTCGGACCACGGACTTTCCGGTTTGCACCAGTGGGTACTGCTGATGAGGTATGCGAGTAGTGTCTTCCCGTAAATCCGCTTCACGTCCCTTGAAAAGTGAAATCTATTACGGAATTTGTGGAGTCGCTTTGTAGCATTTGCTCGGATTTGAGTACCAGTCAGGGAGACGCGTTCAAGGAGAAGATGGACATTCAGTTTTGTAAACAAGATGCATATGAGAGTTCTGCTCCCCAGCCCAATAATCTGTTCGGTTGATGTTTCTCTAATAAAGAACTCCCTTCCCTTCGCACCATAACCACTAAGCTAGCTAGAGTAAGATGCCTCAGTGTTGAACACAGCCGTATAAAGCATTCTAAGGTCTACCCTAGATGACCACTACACTGCCGAACCCGATAACACTGATGGCATAGTTTTACTTTACTCCGCAACGGCTTATAGCTGAGAAAGTGTGGTTAAACAGCACAACGAGAAAGCACAGGGTACACTGGACTGAAGCCTTAACATGAATGCGCCTCCACATTCCCTAAAATACATCCACAATAGATATGCCTTTGAAAACAAGGTTTTGAGTTAGCCACTCATGTTCGGCGTAGAGTCTCTGGATATATGTGCGCACCAGTAGTTGAAGGGGAACATAAACGGGTATCGTCTCAGCTGAAAGTTATAAAAGTCATGGGCCAGTGCGAACCCATTGGTCAACTTGTCCATTGGTCTCCCTGTTTCCCATCTACATTACAATATCTGTCGTATTCAGTTGCGCCAAAATCCAATCGACCCAGGGGGAAATTCCATGGGTTGCCAAAAGTACATAAAACGGGCACTCCCATACGTCCCATAGAGGACTACACTAGTTGTACAACTTCCGACGTGTCCAAATACTTAAGCGACTCGTTGAAGACATGCCACCCGAAGGTTGCACGAGGGTTGGGATGTGGCCAGGTTGCCCACAGGAGAAGTCGAAACACCAACATAAGCGACTCGTTGAAGACATGCCACCCGAAGGTTGCACGAGGGTGGGCATGTGGCCAGGTTGCCCACAGGCGAAGTCGAGATGTAAAAGTGGGGTTCGAAACACCAACCTTCGGGTCAATGGATTCGCGCACTAACCACCGAGACATCTCGCCCACACACTCGGTAAGCCACGATGGTTAGGCCATGTATTTCGTACGTCAGAGAACTGTTTGTCTCTCAGAGCCCTCTTCACCAAGCTATGTATTGGGTGAAAACAACTCACGGATGGTCAGTCTATAGCTGTAGCACCCTTTCGGTGCCTAACTGCTATGCCACCAGTAGGAAGCACGAGGGATGGGATACTGCCAGGCTGCCAAAGCCTAGACACGCGAAGTCGAGAAGAGGTTTGAACCACGGACCTTCCGGTCCGAATGGGAACCTCAGGACAGAAGAGATCAGTCATTAGTGCTCTTGACAGAAATGGCAATGTCACCGAGTCGGTGATATTTTTGCGTCGAAGCTGTTGTCTCACTCGATGCATTCTAAACCCAATGAGTCATCTCCTTCAATACGTCACCAATGTTGTACTACCGGTGAAACAAATTGTAGCAGCTTGGACCATTTTGCCGAAGTACACCGCTCATAGCTTAAGAGCCGACTGACTGGCCCACAGACCGACAAAGAGCGGACATAATTGGGGTCGTGTAGACTCGGAACACCACCAGATGTAGCTGAGGTAAATTATCAACTACGACATGGTCACTTCGATCAAATTTAACCTGGAGGTTTCGAAAATTCCGTACGTTGACTCCACTCACAGAAAGTAACGCCATTAGGTCACAGCTCGCGAGCTGGGACCCCATTCATCTTGCTTCCTTATCGTGCCTTATCCCGGATAATTCCCCGAGTTCTCGGCCCTGAAGTTTCTCCTGGCCACTAGACGATTGTGCATGATCTAGTCCTCCCATGTACTGTGTGAATTGTTCAAACTGGCCTTAGCAGTCTGACGAAGATGTCGTGCGACATGTT